AAAAAGCATTCTTTGGAGTTTATAAAAATATTTACAAAGTTCAACATATAAAAAAGTTGTTGTAATTTACAAGTCAACTAAAGTGACGCTGGAACTCAGTGGTGCAGTACCTACGAGTTTGTGGGCTGTTACGGCGAAAAGCACAAGCGTGTACACTATAGTGCAATGAAGCAGCTTCACCCACCCGACGTCTCACTAAGCGTTCAAGTTTGGTGTCTTTACCTGAAGCAGCTCTATTGCTTTTGTATGTTGCTTTTCACGGCAGAGCTGGGCAGCTTGGATTAACACAGGCAAGAGACGCTCAGGACTCTGGGACTGCAAGCTGGCAGATATTTTTCGGCATTGTTCTGCCTAAAAGATGCCCCTTTTATTAATAAGTATATTAATAAAATTAAACATTAAACAGTCCAAAATAAAGGGATGGGGTAAACAGCTTTAATTAAAACAGTAGGTGCAAAAGTATGTAGGCTTAAGCACATCAGTTTATAGCATCCACCTCATATTTTACTATAAGGACAAGACGGCTAGTCTTGAATTTAAGAGAGTCCTAGAAGCAGTAAGCAAAAGGCAAGTTCTAAATCAGCAGTTCTCAACCTGTGGGTCACAACCCCTTGGGGGGGGTGTCAAAAGACCCTTTCATGGGGGTGGCCTAGGATTACTGGAAAACATGGACATTTACATTATGATTTATAACAGTAATACAATTACAGCTATGAAGTAGCAGTGAAAATAATTTTATGGTTGGGGTCACCATAACATGAGGAACTATACTAAAGGGTCACTGCATTAGGAAGGATGAGAACCACTAAATGATCCTCTGAAACCTAAATTCTAGGTAAATGAAATTCAGAATTTCCTTCCAAAAGCAACACAATCTACAGAACAGCCACGGAAATACATTCCTTGCTGAAACATCAAGAAAGCCTGACTCAGCTCTAAATAATAAAAACATTACTGCTTTTCATATTTGGACTAAAATCTTGTGCTCTATAGTATGAATTTAGAATTTAATTAGGATACAGAAAAAGAATTGAACTCCTTGGGGGCTGGACAGATGACTTAGCAGTTAAGGGGATCTGGGTTCGATTCCCAGCACTCACATGGTGGTTTACAACCATTCATAACTCAAGTTCTAGGGGATCTAACACCAGGCAAACATGTGATGCCCAGACACATACATGCAGGCAAGAAACATAAAATAATAATAATGTAAAAATAATAACAAATGCTTATTTTTTAAAAAAAGAACTGTACCCCTTCACATTTATAATTTGTGTTATAGAAAATGAAAGTTGGCTCTTAGATCTGACTGATGTCTTTAATAATTCCATTTTAATTCAGAAAGTCTAGCAATGGAAGTAAGGAAGGGCTGGGCATGTAGCCACCAGCAGTTAAACAGGAAATGACAACACCTCTCCCGTAAAGGCACTAACTCTCTCCACAGTTATTAAGTCCATATGCTTAGAGAAGTGGGTCAATTACTTGTTTATCCCAATTATTAAAACTTACTAATACTAAAGAAGGAAAGAAGACAAAACGGAGCGAGATCATACAAATACCCGTTGTACCTCATAAGCCCAGGTAGGACAAGGTCAGCCAGGGAACAGACTTACTGCTTACCTGGTTTGTATACATAGCCAGCAAAGCTTTGTTAAACTCTATGGCTTGTAGTTGTCTCTTTGAAAGCTTGAACTCTACTCCTTCTGCATTGGTTAATTTCACTTTCTTCTTGGAGTCAAAGACATTTTGATCCTGACAAAGAAAAGTTTGCCCACCATTAGCAGAAACTCCCACTTTGGCTTTTGTGACTCTCAAAAGCCTTCCCTTTCCACCCATTTATTTCAAATAAACACAACAAGAAAGCTTGGCTACATCTACTGGCTGCAGTGCCTAGACTAACAAGATGTGTACATATCTGCCCTGGTTTTGGGCTCATATATATAAATATATATATATTTATAATCTTTGCAATTCATATCTACCAGACACATTTTTCCCAGTCTATCAGGGCTATGAAAAGGCCAGTGTGAGATTCTTTAGGGAAGAACAAGATTTTTGTTTATCTTCCCAATGCTGGATGCTAGTTTTGAGACCTTTTGTTTTTAGTTTCTGGTTTTCAGATAGGGTCTCTCACTCTCTAGTCCAGGGTAGCCTGAACTTCACAGCAGTTCCCTGCCTTGGCTCCTCAAGTGCTAAGACTATAGGAGTGAACTACCATGCCTGCATCACTTCAGACTACAAAGACACGCACCTGCTGTGTATATAAACCATGCTGTCTATAATTTAAATGAAAAGCCAAGAAGGTAACGATCCTGCTTCAACTGTGCCGAAGGGAATCGCTAAGTCTCTGAAAGAGACATCCCATCTAGACTCCACTGTCAGCAGACAGCATGCATGTAGTACAGCCACTATTTTCCTTCCCCAAGAGCGGCCTCAACTAGGCAGACCCATGAAGAATCGATTCTGAAACTTCCTGCAGGGCAACCATGGCCTTAGCACTGAGGCTCTGAGTTCAACTTCACAATGGGGGTGAGGGGCAGAACATCGTGAATTTCTTAGGAAAGTAAGACAACTAAACTGTAAAGCGTTCTGAAGACAGTGTCTTTTTCAAAGTGATTTATAAAGCAACTCATTTACTTGCAATCACATTCTTAGCCACTACTCTCAAATACCCGTGCTTTTGAATTAAGTCTTCTACTAATTTAAAGACTAAAACTCAAAAATAGGGCTGGAGACATGGCTCAGATGTTAAATTTATTTATTTGTATCGTGTTCTGCATGTGTGTATGCCTGCAGGCCAGAAGAGGGCGCCAGATCTCATTACAGATGGCTGTGAGCCACCATGTGGTTGCTGGGAATTGTACTCAGGACCTCTGGAAGAACAATCAGTGCTCTTAACCTCTGAGCCCCACCCCCCTCCGGTCCTGAGTTCAATTTCCAGCAACCACATGGTGGCTCACAACCATCTGTAATGAGATCTGGCGCCCTCCTCTGGTCTGCAGGCATACATGCAGATAGCATACTGTACACATAATAAATAAATCTCTAAAACATATAAAAAAAAAAAAACCTCAAAAATAAATCCTACTTTTTCTTAATGTGATGCTTCAAACTAGTTTGAAGCCAGAAGCAATGGTGTGCCTCTGCAGTCCCCGACAGACAGGAGCTGTCAGGAGGACCCTTGAGCCCTGGAGCTCATGGGCAGCCTGGCTTAACAGACTGGGAATCTGAAAAAAGGAGGTATTTCCTAGTTAGTGTTCAGGTATTAGTTACTGTTTTTATAATTCAATTTTTTATGCATGCCAATTTGAGACTTTTCTTAAACTTTGTCATAACATTTTAAAAAAAATTTATCTTCAAGACTTCTCATGTTAGTATCATTTAATGTAAACTTAAATTTTTTTTTACTATGTACCATGTCTGTTTGTTTTCTCATCCCTTACTCCTAAATCATACATATTTCTTCATATGTACATATGCTGTTGTTGAACCTTTAAACCTTAAGATTTGTCTAAATTTGCCAATTCAGAGACTTTTTACCAAATATAATTATTTTCGGTATCAGGATGAGGTGGGTTGTCTCCCCACCTACCTGAGACAGGATCTCACCATATACTCCAGGCTGGCCTTGATCTCCTCATTTTCTTGCCTCAGCTTCCTGAACCCTGAGATTACAGGCACGCACAACCATGCCTGGCTTTTCAGGGTGAGATTTTAAACTATAATGATTAAGGACCTAATTTTCTTCATAAACACTACCTATTACATCTAGTATTTCGAACAAAAAGTAAAAAATATTAATGTGAAGCCAGATGTGATAGTGTATGCTTTTAATTCCAGCACTTAGGAGCAGAGGCAGGTGGATCTCTGTGAGTTTTAGCCCAGCCTGGTCTATGTAGTGAGTTACAGGAACAACCAGGGCTATGTAGAGACCCTGACTCCAAAAACAAAACAAAACAACAAAAAAGTGAACTGAATAAAGACCGACGTATAAATTATATTTAGGTGGAGATGTGTATTTAGTATTTCATACACTCTCTTCTCCACAATTGTATGTCTGATAAAAAGTATTCATCCTGATAAACATTTCAAAGTCATGTATTTCGCTCAACCCAATGTCAGCATCAATGTTTGGAAACCTAAGTCATTCCACTAGCCTCCATCTAGAGCCCTCTATCACAGGACGGAGAGGTACAGAGAAGTACAAGGGACAGCCTTTGGGGTCAGAAACTGGTATCTGAATCCATGTTCTAACTCTTCCAGGCAATGGCCTCATACACACCGAAGATAAGGAACAGCATGACCAATCAACAGTTGCTTCTCTTTTTCTACTGACTTGGATTTCAAACCTCAAGTTGAACTGTTTTTCCGTTTAAACAGTGCTCCACATGGTAGTTACTTTGATTAACATAGCACTCTTAAGTTAGTACACCTACACTCCTGTAATGGTTTACAGAGGGCAGGTGGGTAGGTCAAACCACCTGCCCAGACCTTGTCTCCCATAACTGCCACCCCCCCCAAATTTAGACACAGAAAAGGAATGTAAAAAAACACCCATGTACTTAAAGGTCCAAACTACTTATATTTCTAGCACACGGATAGTCTTCATTATTACCATAGACAGGAAATATTTTATTAACATCCAAGGCCTACAACTACAAAAAAGTTTTACTACCTGAATAAACAGGGCAAAAACACCAATATTATGAGTTAAAATACTCTCCATTATGATTTTGTTACACCTAAATTTGTTTGTCATGGAAAAAAGAACACATCCTAGAAAAAAGTTGGAATAATATGTTCTCAGCATAAAACACACATGTAGAAAAACCATAGAGTTCATACCTTATTAATGGTAATGATGTTATTTGCGATTACAGCAAGTAGTGCCACATCTGTTGGCCTGTGAACAAGCAACAGTTAATGCCAAGCACACTTTAAACAGCCACAAACAAAAGCCTCATCCCCCAAAGGACACTTCATTTTTTTAACAACTCACTTCAGTTTGATGATCTGATTGTAAAGCTGCAGGGCCTCCTCTGTGCGACCCTGAAGCTGCAGGATATACGCCATTTGACCATGAATGATGGCCAGTTCTGCCTGTGGGTCTTCCTCAGCCCCATCCTAAGCAGAAAAAGAAACATCTACATAGTTTTACCAAGGGATCCAGACATTTGAAATATAGACGACCTTTATGAAGTCATGTAAGGTCAGGACTCTTCCCCGAGAATCAGCTCTGAGATTCAGAATTGCCACGAAAGAGAACTGTTGAAAGGAAAGTGGAAAGGAGCTCTTGAACGAACATGGTCAAAGATGCAGGAATGCAAGGCGGTGATCACTAAATGTATTATAAAAAAGGTAATGTCTTTGTGATAACATCTCCTCAAATCTTAAAAACTGTTTTCTTGCAAAACAGACATTTAAAAAAATGCTTCTCAAGACTGGATGGCTCAGTGTTAAGAGCACACACTGCTCTTTGTAGAGGCCCTGGTTCAGTACCCAGCATTCCGATCTGGCAGCTCACAATTGCCTGTAACTCTATCTCCAGGGAATTCAAAGCTCTCTTCTGGACTTGTTGGACACCTGTCCTTACACACATAATTAAAAGCAAAATAAATCTTGAAAAAAAACCCAAACAAAACAAAACAAAAACAAATCAACAACAAAAAAGACGTGGCATGTTATAGAATACTTCCTAGCATTTGTGAGGGCCTTTGGTTCAATCCCCGAGACCTAAAAAAAAAAATAGATGTAGATGGCTTTCTTAATTGATGCCCCAAATTAAGCTAATGTAATTGATATGCTGAAGGACTGGCTGGTGAACATGCCTAATGAATATTCAAAGCTAGGAGGCTATATTCTTTATGCATGTGTATACATATTTGTGTGTGCACATATACATATGTGTACATGTACAACCTTGAATGCTGTTTCTTGGGTACTTGAAAAAGTGGGAGTACATACTGTGTTTATGGGGTATTGCAAAGGCCAGAAGAGGATGTCAGATCCCCTGGAACTAGAATTACAGGTGGTTGTAAGCCGCCTGACCTGAGTACTAGGAACTGTGTTTGGATCCTCTGCAGGAGCAGCTTTTCAACTTTTACACCCTCTTTCTATCTCACCACTTTCTATCTGAGACAGGGCCTCTCACTTGCTTGGAACCTGCTGCTCAGGGCAGGCTGCACCTCTGGAGGGCTGGGATAAAGTGCAGGCCACCGTCAATGCACCATGCCCACGAACCCGGCAAATCCAGTCATCTCTTCAGCACACACAGCAAGCACTTCACAGGGTGAGCCACCACCTCCCAGCGCCCAGCACTCTATTTTACTAACCTAGCACTACGCCGGTGAAGGAACACTGGCTGGGTGGGTATGATTTCATTTGCTTCTGATAGAGAAATGCTAAATCTAAGTATTATAGGAAAGAAGAACAAGTGCGAAAAGACGCTTGTCTCAGTACAAATCACAGAGAATGCTCAGAGTTGCTGAAGACAAGTTCCTAAAGAAAATTACTATCTGATTAGGTAAGAACCAAATGCACGGTATCATCTATCCCACAAAGTCAACACACTGCAGTGAAACTTCCCACTATTCGTCACAAGTATAAAATTTGGTTTTATTGAATACTTACAGAATCTTCTGAAAATGAACGGCGACAAAGATCTATAGGAGAAAAAGGGTAAATGGTTTTAAAATAGCATCACTGGGCACTTCCTATTCTTTTCACAGTTCCAAAGAGCAAAAACTAATTTCTGAGCAGATTTCAAGCAGTCTACCAGCTGAGATACATCCTCAGGCCTAGGTGTGTGTTTGTTGGAAATTTCTAATTTTAGATGTGTGTTTTGCCAGCACGTGTGTGTGCATCATCCGTGTGCATGGAGGTTAGAGGAAGGCATCTGGTTCCCTAGAACTGGAGTTACATATGCTTGTGAGGCACCACGTGGGTGCTAGGAACCAAACCTCGGTCCTCTGGAAGAGCAGCCAGTGCTCTTAACTGCTCAGCATCTCTCCAGCCCTGCCAGCAGCTTTTTCTGTGAGGATTGGACTGGGAATGGATTCTCATTGCAGGCAAGCCCTTTACTGACAACATTAGTCACCCCCAGCTCCCATGACAACATAGAAAGTCACGTTGTTTATAAACTTGCTCTCCTAAACATTCCTCCAATTGATCTTTATGTAAACATACATGTGAATCTTACCTAACTATATATATTTTTTAATTCTAGAAGCAGACTTCCTGGATAAGATAGTGTACCATGTGTGTGCTTGGTGCCTGTGGAGGCCTGAAGAGGGTGACAGATCCCCTAGACCTGGAGCTATAGATGGCATTGAGCCAAATTTGAAATTGGGCTACAAATCACCCACGCCTTCTCCTTCCTCTCCTCCTTCCCTGCTTTCTTTTCTGTTTGGAGCTGGAGACTGAACCCCTAGCCTCGAGTGTCCTAGCTGTAACCCCAGCACCATTTTTAAATTAGAGGCTTCAAAGCAGGAAACACATGTGGAAACACATTAAACGGCCTAAAATGTCCTGGAGTGGTACTATAAATATTTACACTGATCAGTTTTATTCTGTGTGTGTGCACACACGTGCATGTGTTTGCATGTCATGTCATGTGGAGGTCCGAGGACAACCTGCAGCAGTCAGTCTTCTCCTTCCACCACATGGAGACCGGGGGCTGAGCGCAGGCCATCAGGTTAGTGGCAAGTGCTCGCTGAGCTCTTTCCCTGGTCCTTCACCGGGTCAGGAATCATTTTATTACATACTGTTTGGTTGTTAGGTCAACTAATTTACATCTAGTACTTACAATAACCCTTCAAAGACCTGCTCTTCAAAATTAAACTTTAGAAACTACTTTGATTCTCTCAATTCAGAAATTGAGATGGCCAATGAGATAGGCTAGACAAACTTCTGAAAATTCTCACTGTCCCAGTAACTTCCACTTCATCATTTCACAAACATGAAATCAATTTTTAGAGACTGTCTAAAGTTATACACCCACACCGATTTACAGAGAGCTTGAGACTGCCAACCTTCAGCCTTCTGTAGGGTTTTCATGGCCTGGCTCAGCTGGCCTTGCCCTATCAGCGCGCAGGCAGCATTGTAACAGAGCTCATGTGTGCCTTCCTGGAGACCCAAGTTCTCCTGCCAGAGAGAAAAACGTCAGTCACGCACTAAACGGGAATCCTTTCATGGCTGTATGAAGCAGACGGACACTCACCGGAACCACTTTTTCCCAATTGCTCTGAGCTGCGACAACTGCAGAAAGGTTGGTTTTCCTTTCCTCGTCATAATCGTCCTGGGAGTTCCGGACAAGGTCTCTATAGACGGCCAAGCACTCGTCATAGCGCTCCAGGCGGTACAGCTGAGGGCCAGAGCACACAGGTCAGAGCTGACTAACGCAGTCTTGGTTTTAGACCACACTAATGCTTTCTGGAACCAGTAAGGAAGGAACATAGAAACATAATATGAGCAAGCCAACGGCTTACCTTTTATCTTTTTATTTTCAACTAGTTTTCTGAGCTAATATTTTTAAAAATATGACATGCAGTGAATCTTTATTACAATACACATTTGTAGGTGTGGCTACATTTAGAAAAGCAAGTTCTTTATCATAGTTAAATGCCTAAAGGCTGTAAAAGGAAAGCTTTCTATAGAAATCTATGTTGTTACCTGAATTGTAATGATCTCACACAAAATGATTACTAAGTGCCAGTAAACAGAAGAAAAACTCAATGCTAACTAAAGACTTAAAATTTCCTAGACATTCACTATATGCACCCCTGTACTTTCTGTTTCTCAGAAATCAGGTATGGCACATAATGACAGTAGTACCAAGTTCATACAACATAAGTCTTGCTTCAGTCAAGCTGTTCTTGGGCTGGGTGTGGTGGTGCACGCCTTTATTCCAGCATTCAGGAAGCAGAATCAGGAAGATCTCCGGGAGTTCAGGCCAGTCTGAACTACACAGCAAGTCCCAGGTCAGCCAGAGCTATAAACTGCCTTAAAACAAAATAAACGGCTGGGCAGTAGTGGTGCACGCCTTTCACCCCAGCACTCGAGAGGCAGAGCTGGGCGGATCTCTGTGAGTTCGAGGCCAGCCTGGTCTACAGAGAGAGATCCAGGACAGGCACCAAAACTACACAGAGAAACCCTGTCTCGAAAAATCAAAAAATAAACAACAAACAAACAAACAAAAGAGGTAGTAACAGCTGCCACTCTGGATCTATTAGTCCCCTATGTGTACAGAGGCTGGTTCCCGTACCCTGTAATTACCTAGTTTACATCTCTGTCCTCTCATCATTAAGAGCACTTTCAGATCAGGCTTCATTTTGTCTCAAATCCTTTAAGAATATTTTCAGGGGCTGGAGAGACTGCTCTGCAGTTAAGAGTACTCATTGTTCTTGCAAAGGACCCGGGTTCAATTCCTAGCACCTACATGGTTGTTCACAACCACTCTGTAACTCCAGTTCCTGGGCATCTGATACTGTCTTCTGACCTCCATGGGCACAAAGCAAGAATGTGGTGTACATACTATACATGGAAACAGAACACACACATATATAAAACTGAAAAAGTCCCCCAAATTCTTATCCTTCATTATCATCCTATTTTAAACTTAGAATACTAGCCGGGTGGTAGCACACGCCTTTAATCCCAGCACTTGTGAGGCAGAGGCAGGCGGATCTCTGAGAGTTCAAGGCCAGCCTGAGCTACAGAGTGAGTTCGAGGCTGCAAAGCTACACAGAGAAACCCTGTCTTGAGGGGAAAAAAAAGAGAGAGGGAGAGAGAGAGAAACCTAGAATACTAGTTAATACTAGAAATACTGTTTCACATATGTACATAGCTCACTGGCCTTTATCGTTCTAACCAGAAGTCACATTTCATACAATAACCCTGAAGAAGTCTTAGCTTACAGAATACTAGACACACAACTCTTCCAGTGAAGAGCAAGAACATGGAATACACTCAAACCTCAAGACTGGTTTGGTGGCTAACTTTGTCGAGCATCTCAGGATGGGCTGATTTCCCCATCCCTGCTCCATGTTATGGGGAAGGCCATGCCTACTTGGGGTGACTGTCAACAGGTATTTAAAGCAGTAATTACCACTTGTCCATAAAGCTCCTTTAGTTTGTCTGTCTGCTGGTTGGCACTTTCTATTGTCTTCAAGGCATTTTCAATTCTGTTCAGCCTGTACTCGCAATATGCCTTCTCAAAGGAGAGAGAGTTACTGAAGAAAAAAAAAAACAAAACAAAACAGCATGTGATTATTATCTAATAATATAACATTCTGTATTACATTAAGTCAATGATTCCCAATTTCTAGGTTTCAACCCCCAAAGACCATCAGAAAACATGTATTACAATTCATAACAGTAGCAATATTACAGTTCTGAGGTAGCAATGAAAATAACTTTATGGTTGGGGTCACCAAACATGAGGAACTGTATTAAATGGTCGGGTCGAGGCATTAGGAAGGTTGAGAACCACTGCTCTAAGCACCTGATACATGTTAATCTATTCAATAGTCACAGCAAAGCTTGTGACTCGCTTCCCAAATCACAGAGACTCTTAAAGTGGCACAAAGTACTACATCTATTTCCTCATCTACTCTTCTTTCTATGAATATTAAAAAAAAACTACTGGTATTTTGAAACAAGTATTAAAGAAGTCAATCATGGACTAGCTAAATACACAACTGCCTTAGATACAAAGACAATACAAATACTCAAATGGTACACCTTGACATTCAGTTGGTAAGAGTTCTTGCCTAGGATATACAAAGCCCTGGGTTCTATGCCCAGCACTTCATGGCTGGATGTGGTGGTCCATGCCTGTTATCTTAGCACTGGGAAGTACAGGTTGAGATCAGAAACCTAAACTCTTCCTCAGCTACCTCAGGAGCTTGAGGCCAGTCTGGGAGACATGAGACGCTGTCTCCAAAGAAAAAAGCTTCTTAAATCTACCTAATAAAATAAGCTATATGATGCTTCTGTTTTGGTTCACGAACCAAATAATTATCAAAGAAAAAAAATAATTACAAGTAAAATATTGTATTTACAATTAAGTAACTGGTAAAGATACAAGCAAACAAGCAGCATTTAAATACCCAGATTTAAAAAGCTCACCTACACTAATATGATATCTAAAGTTCATTTTGAAGTTTCAACCAAAAGTCTCCCCCTCAGAAAAAATTTATCAAAGCAAATGCAAAAAAGTAACCATTCAGGAAGTTCATGCTCTGTGAAATGAGGTCAAGCTAAGGCTGCCCCATCATCTTAAAGCCTTCTATCGATTTAGATGTTTTTATACTCTAAATTACATATCTATTTGATAGATAGACGACTGTTTTCTCCCTCTCTCCTCCCACCATGAACTATTACTTGCCCCCTTCCCCAAACCCCACCATTGGAAACAGGGTCTTAGTATACAGCCCAAGATGGCCTCAAACTAGATTTTTGCCTCAGCTTCCTGAGTGCAGGATGACAAGCGTAAGTTGTATATCTGGCTCTTTTCACATTTATGTCCTGCATTCCTATACGGTTTGTTCCTTCTTAGCAGGTCAAAAGAAAGACAGCTGGGGACTGTGGCATTTACCTGTAACTCCATCATCAGGAGGTTCAAACAGGAGGTTGTAAGTTTGAGACCAGCTTGGGCTACATTGTGTGTTCCAGGCTAGCTCGGCTTAGATCCAGAACAAACAAACATGCAAATACAAAACAATGAAAACCCAGAAAAACAAGAAACAGACAAACAAACAGAAAACCCCAAACCAAAAAAACCTACGAAATGCTTCCAACAGCACAGCAGAACAGAACAAAGGTTACTACTGCTCCTTCCAAATTTAGAAGGACCGATGACAAAACCAAAACCAAAACCAAAACCAAAGAGAACAAAAAAAGAGGGAAAAGAAAGGAGGTCAAAAGTAAGTGGCCAGTGCAAGAAAACAATGGGAGAGGTTGCACAACTCTGTTAACAAAAGTATTTCTAATAACTGTACAACTAATGGTTCACTTACTTGGCTAACACTTTGGTGTGAGTATTGATGACATTCAAGGCTTCTTTGAAACTTCCATTCTGGATAAGGCAAACAACTTTACAGTGCAGGGCGGTGACATCATCCTTGTTAATCTGCAATACTAGAGAACAATTTTAGGAAAGTCATTTTTAAATCCACGCCTTTCCCTCATTTTTACTAAATAAAAATGGCAATATAGCTTGCCTAACAAATGTGAGGCCCTAAGTCCAATTTCCAGCATTGCAAAACCAAAAGCACAACGCAGACACCATTTATCTTGTGGAAATGTTCCAAAGAAATACTCAAAATTTCCCTTTCCCATAAGGAGATCAAAGAGACGTATAAATAACTCAGGTGGTCAAGGTTCAATGCAGGTCAGTGTCAAAATGACTAGGATCATAGTTGCCTTTGCTCCTGGTCAACTACGGGAGTTGTATTCTCAGTTTAGGAGTCAAAGGGATTTCTAGAAATTAATATTTACTGCTGAAGTGGCACTCTTGGCTCACTCAAGTATTGCTGCAGAGTGTTACATTGCTACTATGTACTGGTTGGAGGCCCAGTTAAGGGCTACCTTTAACTCAAGTAAGTTTGGGAATCAAGCATTCTAATCCACAGCTATGTCCCTCAATGCACTGTGGTCACCATCACTATCTTCATAGTAACTCAAAAAACCCAAAGTGGCCAAGTGTATGGTACTGCTAAGCCCTTTACATAACTATGGCTTTGCCCAGCTAAACCGCTTGGCAGTTACACTACCAAGCCTAACACACGTCAAGTGCATCTACTGAACAGAATATGGCACGGCCACATTACAGACATGTAGTGGAGAATAACAACGTATGGAATCTCACACTGAAGACAATGCAATTAGAAATGATCACTTATGGGGGTAAAAACACAAACTTTTCTTCCTATGCTATTTCAAATGTCGCACTCACGCGGGGACACATACACACACACACACTCTGGCTAAACACCACGGGGCAGACTCTGTACGTGGAAACGAAGAAATGCTAGGCTGGACATTCACACCTCTCCCCTTTAGAACGTGCACCTTGTCTGCAACATGGATGATGTTACGTATGGAGGCAGGAAGGTGCCTTCTCCTGCCCCCTACTCCTGCCCCAGCCCGAGTCAACACGTCTCCTCCACGACACTGTCTGGATGACTTCCCTCAAGAAGAAGAAGAGTCCATCGGACACCCCCGCAAAAATCCGGCAGAGGAGGATAGGGGATCAAGAGCACTTTGGAAGCGGTTCCGGGCGCCGCGGGCTCTTTAAGGCCCCCCTCCCCCTCGCGTCGGATCCCGCGGGCACGGAGGGAAGTCCACGTGGCCCTAAGCAGCCGGGCTCGGGCCGTCCGCCGGTGGCCGCCGGGCTGGGACCGGTCCCCGGCCGGGCTCGGGGGCT